AAGGTGAGCATCATAGAATGCCAATTTTAATAGAAGAAAGTATTCTTGCATTGAGGGAATACTTGAGACTTGGGACTTTTTTAAAACACCGCAGGACTTGGGGAAAATTGTTAAAAATCGAGACTGTCTGGTCCCCTTAGTTTAGCTGCAAGCGTTATTATTAACCATTTAAATGAATATTTATGTCCTGTGTAGGTTATTAGTTTAATAGATTTAAAATATAACAGTAATATTAGGAATCTCTTTTAACAGGTAAACAATGTAGATTTCACAAATATCATAAGAGAAGAAGCTGTTCTTTTCCTACTTGATCTCCCTAAAGGAGAAGAAGTTACCATATTGGCCCAGAAGAAGAAGGATGGTGAGATATTAACAGAAATGGAGAAAATGAATGGAGGGTTTTGAAGGTCTACATTGGGATTCATTTCAGATTTTTTATTAATCACTCCAAAGTTGATGTGAATCTCATATTAATCTTAAAGAGTTCATTTAATTTAGTGCTATGTTCATTATAACACATCAATAGAACCAACCTTTATGGAATTCTGATTTAAGTAGAATGTCATCCTACCCTCTACAAGTCATTGAAAAAATCCTATTTGTTAGCTTTCAGAGCCTTACAAAAGTTTATATGGGTAGCTTCCAAACTTTGCTGTTTTTAAGTTGTGCTTAGAAATTTTTAGCATTAATTCAAGAGAATGACTAATTGTCTTCATAATAAAGTAGATCAGTTATACTGTTTATTTAGAACAGCAATATTAAAAAATGGCATCGTTTATATTTGGGGCCCAAATTATTTTTTGTGGTGGCAACTTGCCTGTATATACCTTGCCTGTTAGCATTGTCCCAGTCCTCTATTTGCTAGTTGCCATTAACACATACAGCCTCCCTCACACCTAGTGTGACAACCAAGAATCTCTCTCCTCCCATTGCCATTGAGTCAATTCTGACTCAGAGCAATCCTATAGGTCCAAGTAGAACTTGCCCCTTTTGGTATCTGCAACTAAATCTTAATGGAAACAGACAGCCTCATCTTAATTCCATGGAGCAACTGGTGGGTTCCAACCCCTCATTTGGCACTTAGCATCCCAGTGCATAACCCAGTATGCCACCAGGGCCTCTCTCACTGTGGTAGAGTTGATTCTGACTCAGGCAGCCATACAGGACAGTGTAAAATTAGGTTTCCTAGACTCTAAATCTTTAGAGTGGAAAGCCCCATCTTTCTTTCTCCTACTGAGCTGCAAGTGGTTTTAAACTGCTGGCCTTGCAGTTGGCAAACTGACCCACTACACCAGCAGGGCTTTTCTAGCTATTCCTAAATGTGTCTTGGAGTTGCGGTTAGAGGATGGGATAAAATTGCCCTCGTTTGAGAGCCACGTATTTAGAAAATGCAAGTGTCCATAACATTTGCAATTAAACTAGATTCTTTAAATAGGGAGTGTCTATGTGACTCTGGACAATGTATTTGATCTCTATCTGCGTTGCTTTCTGCATTTGTAAAATAGAAATGCTGAGAATTCCCATTTTATATGATTAAATGTGATAAAATACATAGTATAATACCTAACGTGTCATAAATAATTCAACGTTTTATGCATATTATTATTGCTAATGGTAACATCTTCATATAATGTATTATCTGCACTTTTATTTCTTGTTGCAATCATTAATAGTCTATTTTGATTCCTTTTAGTTTATCGCCGCATTGTAGAATCAGATGTGGGAGATTCTTTTTATATTAGAACCCATTTTGAATATGAAAAGGAGTCTCCCTATGGACTTAGTTTTAACAAAGGAGAGGTGTTCCGTGTTGTGGATACCCTATACAATGGAAAACTGGGCTCTTGGCTTGCTATTCGAATTGGCAAAAATCACAAGGAGGTAGAAAGAGGCATCATCCCTAATAAGAACAGGTATGAATGTTTGGATACTTCTCATAGAGTGAATAATAAATAGTGATAGAATTTTTGTAATATTTTTGTTGTATTTTTCATATCTATAACTTAGTTGTAAGTTATACAAAGTCCTCTTTACCTATTAAGATTTAAATTGCTCTTGAATTGTGTTCAGTATTTTAACATTTTATTTCATTCTGAGTCTTTTATGTATACGCTTTGCCTGATCTTTATATTTCTGTATATAGAGCTGAACAATTAGCCAGTGTACAATATACACTTCCAAAAACAGCAGGAGGAGACCGTGCTGACTTCTGGAGATTCAGAGGTCTCCGCAGCTCTAAGAGAAATCTTCGAAAAAGTAGAGAAGACTTGTCTGCCCAGCCAGTTCAAACAAAGTTTCCAGCTTACGAAAGAGTTGTTCTTCGAGAAGGTAGTTTATTTTCTACAAATTAAGCTAATAGCTTTTATGTCAATATGTATAAGAGAAAAACAAAATATATCAACTATACAACTTTTAATTTGACTTAACTCACTCCTACCCTCCAGCTGGATTTCTGAGGCCTGTAACCATCTTTGGACCAATAGCTGATGTTGCCAGAGAAAAGCTGGCCAGAGAAGAACCAGATTTGTATCATATAGCAAGTAAGTAATCTTAAGTATGGTAGACGTTGAGAATGTTTCTTTTAAAAGAATTGGTCTGATACATAATGTAATAAGTAAAGTTTTTAATACATGAAAAATTGTAGTTTACTCTATGCATTTAACTGGGAAGGAACGTTGAATGATTATGTTCTTGTCTACTAATTCCCTTTAATAATAAGGGAATTTAAAAATGTTTAAACCCTTGGCTTATGAGTACCACTTAGCACAGTAACACCATATATTTATTATGATATCCAGGTTAAAGATTAGCAAATGGAATCTTGAGTTATGATTGGGAATCATCATCAATTTCTTCACGCCAGTGTTTCCCAAATTGGGTGATACTGCATCCTGGGGCTAGGGAGTGGGTAGGGCAATTTAGGGAGTTGCAAAAGGAGATACCTAGACTCTATCCTGGATTATGAATAAAGTTTTTAATTACCGGGGAAGGGGACTGTTTTGGGGTGTTTTTTTAAACACCACCCCTCTCCTTCGCCCCTCCCCACACACACAAAAAAAGATAGTAGGCCAAATAAGTTGGAAACCATGGTGTAAACTTTGTTTGGTGAGTCCTAGGTGTAATGAGTGATAAAGGGGGTTGAACCCAGTCCTTTCTGCCTTCAATCGATTGCTTTTAGTATTAAACTAACAGAAATGCTCAAATAGTTAATTTAAAAGGTTAATGATTGATGCTACTAGTATTGCAGATCTCTGCCTTTATCAAATCTGAAACACTGGAGCTCGTTTAAAAGTGACAAACATTACTGTGCCTTTTCTGTGAAGAATTTCATATAAATTAGACCCTTAAAATTCATGACTGGAAATCAGTCCCATACTGCAGTTGTATTATACATCCTTGGGACAGGGAGGGAGCAAATAAGAGCCTTAGTTAAATAGTGACTTATTATGTATTGGGCTGCTAACAGAAAGCTCAGCAGTTTAAACCCACCAGCTGCTCCATGTGAGAAGGAAGAAATTGTCTACTTCTATAAAGATTACACACTCAGAACTCTTCGATGAGCTGGCACCAACTGGATGGCATTGGATGAAATAGGGAGCTGTTGGGATGACGACCAAGTGGATAGCGATGTCATGCAGTTAAACATTTTTGGCATTTTCTGCTTTCTAATTTTCTTTTACTAATGAATGCATATAAGGTAATCTACAGCCGAGATGTGACATTGCTGTTTCTGGGTTACATACGTGCCAAGGAGAATTGATTTCCTCAGTCTAAATTGAGAGTAGGCCTCTGACCAGAAACAGCCATGCCAAACAATATGTCCTGTTTATCAAAATGTGAGAAAGGTCAGAAAGTAAGCCATATTGGAACCTCAGGCAAAGGAGCAAATGTGTATTTGTTTAATGTTTGTTTGTGTTTTGTTTTCCACAGTACTAAGTTAATTTGGAATATTGAAAAAATAAAATCTGTGTATTAAAACTCAAATTATTTTAGGTATATAATTTACTCCAAACTCATAATTTGTTACCCTTTTACTTTCCTTTCATGGAAGTAAACTTGTCAATAGTTTTTCTCAAAATTTACTTCTCTAGCTTATTTTCATTTGAGAAAATTGACAGTTTCTCATGACCTCATGACACTCTTAAATAAGTTTTTATTAACTTCCACTTACTGGTCTTATATTTATTTAAAGTTATATGATGTTTTCATCATGATTCATTTTGATTTTAAAAGAATTATGTATTACATCAAATTATTATTTTTCTTGATTACTGGGTTTTGAATGATACTCTCCCCACATCACATCTTAAATTTTGCTCCTGAAACAAATGCTTATTTACTGCTTCCTAATCCCAGCCCCTTTTCCATTGGAAAACATTCTTAGTGTTCCCAACTAAAGTAGTCTTCTCCCCAGGGGACATTTAGCCATATCTAGACACATTTTTGGTTGTCACAATGGGGAAGTGATGGCATGAAAGGTGTTACTTGTAACTAATGGGTTTAGAGTTCAGGGAAGCTGCCAAAATTCCCCGATGCACTAGTAGCTCTCCACAATACAGGATTTACAATGTTGAGAACCCTTGATCTTGACCAGTGGAAATTTAATGTTTTGTTTTCTCCTGACTAAATGAGTAGAAAGTGAACCAAGAGATGCTGGAACTGACCATCGTAGCTCGGGCATTATTCGTCTTCATACAATAAAGCAAATAATTGATCAAGTAAGTTATTAACAATTAACCTGTCTCATTGTCAACTCAATGTTGTGCTTTAAGTGGGTTGGAATTTGGTTAATTTCAAAGTAGGTTATTTTTCTATAAGTACCACGGGAATACTAGTGGTAATTGATCTATTGCTGAAAACCTTTTTAACAATCACATGTGGGGTATCACTGCAAATTGGCAACCGAGCAAAACACACAGGAGGGACTCTGAAGAGCACAAAGGATACACGGAGAAGGATATCTTACACTTCAAGACTACAGGATTATCAGCATAAAGAAAAGTAGAAACAAATATACTAAAGTTAGAGAGCAGTCTGCCTATAAGACTCCGTTTTGTCATCTTCCCAAGTGCCACCTGAGTGCAGAGTCGCAGGTCTGGTCTAACCGGAGGGGCTAACTGCGGGGAGGAGTGGCACAGCTGCAAGGATGTATTCCTAAGGACAAATTCGGGGTGGATAAAAATAAAAATAGCTTTGACACACCACCCAGCCCAGAAGAGCCCCAGTGGATACCCCACAGCTCCCCAAAAGTGGGAACAACACACCTACCAAGCCACGTGAGGATAGATATATAGGGCAGCCTGGCGACAGCATAAAACATCCCCCTTCCCTGAAGTTCAGCTTAGCATAGCCCGCTATCCCAAGATACCCAAAAACGCCCCCAAAAAACATAAAAATATAAAGCTATTTGAAGCCTTTTTTCTTTTTTTAGCAAAGTATTAGCAAAATAATACAAAAAGAAACTGCAACAGCGATTTTAGATTTTTTTAAAAGCTTTAGGACTGGCTCCAGCCCTGCTCAGAGCCCCAAGTCTCTCAGATAGGCTATTGGTCACCCCGTCATCTGAAGAGTGAACTTTGCAGCACAGCCTGCAGCAAGTATAAATAGTGAATAGGCCTACTCTTTACATAAACCCAGTGAGCTCCAGCTCCCACTTCCCAGAACTTACCCACCTTCCCTGAGGCACACCTTGGCATAGC